CGTAGAGAGAAAGGTACAAGACAATAGCACCACCGCTCCCTGCCTGCTGACCATTTACTCACTCTCATTCTATTTTTCTTTTGCTAATGAACACAGAACTATAATTTCAATCCCCCCCCTCCCCCCCTCTCCCCCCACATCTACAGTTTTAAACGCAGCTTTGATTAAATCGGACATAAAGGCAAAGTAATCCAATAACTGATGGGCCATGCAGCTTTTACACGGTATCGACGTTTTTAAGCAGCTCAGACGGTAATTGCAGTTAAAGACGGGCGAGTCCGTCGATGCTTTCTGGTTTATTCATCCCTGAGTGAACTCCTCTAAAACCGACCTGTGTGTGTGTGGACGTCACACTCCTGGTGTGTGTGTGTGTGACTGAAACAAACGACAAACTTTAAGCAGTTCCACATCTAACATAGACGTTAATCTGATGATTGATCTGCAGTAAAGGCCCCGAAAGCCTCAAACAGGTTCTTAGTGTGACGCTAAAGGAATCCACAGGTTTGTTTTGTTGGTAGGATTTAGATGATAAATCAATAAAACGTATGAATGTTCAGCTTGAAGCAGCTCAGTTTAGCTTAAAGACAGGAAGCGGTCAGTGTGACTCTGTCCAGAGGTAACAAAGTTCATCCAGCAGCATGAACAAGCAACACGCTGTGAGTTTAATCTGCTCCGGACAAAAATAACCGAGCAGCTTCTATCTGTGGTGACTTTGAACAACTTACTGGTATTTAAAGGTTTTTCCTTTTAGTTAAATTTCAAATAATATCTATAAAATGACAGGAAAAAAATATTAATTTAAATGTTAACTGGGAAAAAATAAAATATAAAAATTGTAAATAATATTCAAATTATTTTTACTTTTTTTTATGTTTGTGAAAGTTTTCACTATTTTTAATTTTTTTTTTAAGTTATTATTTTCCTGATATTTAACATTAAAAGAAAAACTGCTGTATATTTCAGATTGGAAATTATACAGAATTTCACTGATTTGTTCATTTACAGATATAATTATTAAAATCACAATAAACAAGCACCACGCTGTGAGTTTAATCTGCTCCGTACACTGGAAAAAATAACTGAGCAGTTTTTATCTGTGGTGACTTTGAACAACTTACTGGTATTTAAAGGTTTTTCCGGTTGAATTAAATTTTCAAATAATATCAAGTAAAATCACAGGAAAGCAATAAAAAAAAAGGACAAAACTAAATAATATTCAAATGTTATTTTTACTATTTCGAAATCAGCAAAAAAAAGGTAATTATTTTCCTGATATTTTCTGTTAATCTAAATAAAAACTGATGTATATTTCAAAATGGAAATGGACTGAAAATGAAACAGAATTTCACTGATTTTTTCATTTACAGACATAATTAGTAAAGTCACAATAAATATAAAGATTTAAACATTTACTGTAAAAATAAAACTGCACACAACACCAACATAAAGCGTAAATATTTGTAAATTGTTCTTTTACATTATATGACTGTAAAACTACAGTTTAAGTTGAATTAAATCAGCTAAAATATAAATATATGGAGAACTTTTTAACGGATATTTACTGTTATTTTGACCATTTTTGAACTTTACAGCATTCCATCGTTCTTTGTTTTGTTTTTACAGATTATTTCAGACAAATTTTCACATTTCATAACAAAATAAAATATAAATATATAAATATCCTGTAGTGGACTTTGTTAGCTCAGGACAGAGCTCATGTTTTCTAGTCTTCGTACTGACTGACTTACATCTGAATCGATCTTCTCGTCTCAGTTCCAACATTAATATTTAAATGTTTCCTGAAGCGTAGAACTCCTCCTTCAGCACAAATAAAGTCAGAACCAGTTGAACTCTGTCATAACAACACCTCCAACCTCCAAACCTCCACTAATCTGTACTTCATGGTGTCGCCAACCCTCCGAGTCGGAAGCAGCCGACGGTGGCGGAGGCCAGAACCGAGCATTTCTTTAACATTAGTGGAAACAAGCACACAGTACCGGTGCTTGTGGTTTTCCTGTAGCTGATAAGGTTTATTTGTTTTAACTTCATTCTTAGCCTGTTAACTTGCATTGATCCACTTCTGACTCACGAGATGCAAGAATGTCCGTCATGTGACGTAGAGACTGGATGTGAATCCTCACTAGTTCCTCCTGAATACACACTCTTTGCTGTCTTTACTGTGCTGTGAGTGTGTCTCACAGGTCGGTAGCTCTGCGTCTTTGCTGTCTCGGGTATGCGTGTGAGTGTGTGTTTTGCTGGAGAGAGTTGTGTTTGTGTTTCAGCAATGGTACACTGCCACCATGAACCTGCTGGGGACCTGGCTCACCGAACGCATGGATCAGCAGCTGCACGTCTACCAGCTCAAGATCCTCATCAGGATCACCAAGGTAGGAGTCGCCACCTCCAGCTGTGGGCGAGTGAGACGCCAACCATCAATCTCTGATGTATCTCTGTTCCCCCCCCACCCTGTTGCAGAAAAAGTACCGGGACTTCCGCCTGCAGGGCGTCCTCGACTCCACCCTGAACAGCAAGATGTACGACACGGTGCGCAACAGGCTGACGGTGGAGGAGGCCACGGCCTCGGTGAGGGAAGGAGGCATGGCGGGCATCTCCATGAAGGACAGCGACGAGGAGGACGAAGAGGACGACTAGAGCCCGCCGTGCACTGACACCTCCCCCCCTCACCCCCAGTCCTCCCTCCCTCCCTCCCTCCTTTCACACTTTTGACTTTAGCCTGGTTACTGATGCATGTACCAACTCAGATAGCCACTCTAGGACCTCTTTGTCAGCTCGAAAAATGCCTATGAAGGAACTATTAACTATAAAAATAGTACTTATACTGAAGAAAAATAAAAATAAAAATGTTTAAAAAATAACCATGATTGGCAGTTTAGCTGTGTCATGATGAAGATAGCACCTATCTTTGATTCATTCATTTCTAAATTCATTCCTATGTGTTACTAAGCAATATGGAGAACCATTTGTTTGACAATGTTGAGTGAGATTAAATAGGTGTGTCCCTGTCCAATGCAAACCTATATGGCGCTTCTTTGTCGTATTCTACATTCATTAATGGTACATTGTCGTGATGATGAGTGTGTGTGGACGCTTTCCTTTGTCTTGTCTGTTTTTAAGTGAATGCCAACTGCTTCAAACTGAAAATAAAAAAAAAAAAAAAACACAACCTCTGTATTTGTTTACGGCTGTTCCAGACAAACCGTCGTCTACTCACTGTTCTTAACATCGACAGTAAGTCCAGACCTGCATTTTTATCATGTGTCAACGCTATGTGGTCTCATCTCAATTAACCAATTAGACACGGTTCCGCGGGAACTTCAACGAGTGGGTATTCTAGAGATGCAATATTCTCATAGCTCCATTTTGATAACTTGGGAGATTCTATTTTTATTTCAACATTTAAAAAAAAAAAGAAAAGGCCTTGAAACAGGTTCTATTTTAATTGAGTTGCACTTTTACAGAGAAAAGAGCAAAAATGATTTTTTTTTATTATTCTAAAAAAAAAAAAAAAAAAAGTTGGTCTGTCTTTGTTCTGTACTTGTGTAGAATGAGATGTCTGGCATTTGTTTGGGTCTCACTGTTGTTTTGTATATATGATATAAATATATATATAAATATAAAATGCTGTACATTGCATTCTGAGCCATCGCTGCATGCCTGTGGGTTCCCACCCTCCCCAAACGCTTTCTGTTTTCTGTGTGAACTAGCTGGTGGATTCATTCTTGCTTTTGCCTTATGAAAGCCAACAGTTGTAATATGCAAGAGCTGTGGCCTCGAAATAAAAATTATTGTACATGTGCATCCGCTGTCGTGTTTCCTGAACGCACCCGAGACACACACAAGACGTGAAGCTAGGGAGCAGTGAGAGGGCTGGATGACAAAAATAAATCAATAAAAGAAGAAAAAAAACAATAAACGTGGAAATAAAAATAAAAAATAAAAAATGTGGTGACATGAAGCAATATTAATCAAAAATGAATCCATAAAGGAAAAGGATAATAAATGTAGAAATATAAAGACAAATAAATAAAAATGTATTTTTTTATTTTTAATTAATTTATGTATTTATTAATTTTATTTTTTATTATTTTTTTCAGTTTTACTTTTATCTATTTATATTTTTTAATTTATTACTAATTTTTTATTATTTTTATTAATGTTTTCTTAATGATGTCACTTTAAAAGCAAAGGCACAACGACATTCCTACTGCGCATATTTTCATATTTCCTTTGCTTTTAAAGTGACATAAAAAAATGTTTTAATAAATTATTTTCTTTTTTTTTCATTATTTGTCTTTATGTCTACTTTTATTAGCCTTTTCATTTATGGATTCATTTTGATGAATATTGTCAAATGATTTATTTCCTATTTTATTTATTCTTCTCTTTATTTTCACTTTTATTGCTTTGTCATTTGATCCTCTCACTGCTCCCATTTTGATTCGGTGGAGGGAAGATATTGACTCAAGCGCTCTAACTTAAGCTACTTGGTCTCGGAGTCACATCTCTGAAAAGTTCAAACACACGGTCTTGGATCGAGCGTGACCTTTACATTCCGGGATGTTCTCCAGCACGAGTCTATAAATCAGCTTAGAAATCATCGAAGCTTCGCATGACTCCAGAACTGGTTTCTTTCAGTATCAAAGTAATCCCCTGGCGGCTGCCTGTCGACTGCTAATGCGGCGGGCTTGTACCAAAAAATGTAGTGTTAGGGGTGGAAGAAAAAATAAAAGAACCTTGTTTGGTGCAGTTTTGAAGCACTTAGTATTCTGTTTCATGCCACCACTTCGCAGGAGATATTGAACTTTTCACTCCTCCACATGTATCATCGCATATATTAAAGGCAGCTTCACATAAAAACACACTTTATGCAGCAAACACAACATCAAGCTCCACCTCGATGAGCTGGCAGATTCCACACACACTCCTCCCACCGCCAGCAGGGGGCGACAGCAGGAAGTCAAAACTCATCCATCAGCAGGTTCATGTAATACAAGGATGCGGTGCACCCAAAGCCAGACTTTATTTAATGTATAGCAATACAATTTACCTATTAAATAACACTATTACACTATAATATGGTATATAACAGTATCATAGGAACGCGTTGCTATCATACTGTCATATAAACATGTGATATGATGGACAAAACCTTTTTTTTTTTTGAAGTTTTTTTTTAAAGTTACAAAATAGACTCGACTACCGACCTGGTTGAAATGAGCTCGAGGCGAACACACCGGCCGCCTCCCGGACCGTCAGCAGGAAAAAATCTGGTGTAAAACAGCAACGGAGCTCAGAGGGAGCAGCAGCAGCTCTGATTGGTGGGACTCTGCTGCTGCCGCCGCCGCCAAGATTCACATAATCATTTATCCACAAAAGTACAATCTGTTACAAGGCCACAATACAAACCGAATCTTTGTATGAAAATATAAACTTCTATGATCACAAAGGTTACATAATTTGTTGTTTTTTTTTTCCTTTTCTTTTTGTTGTTGTTGTTGAAGAAGTAAATGTGTGCAGCAGCAACAGCACTCGTGTTTTTATATGTTGAGCAGAAATATCAAACAGAACAAAAAAGGAGGCTGGCGTTCATACAAAGAAATCAACAGTTGAGATGTGGAGCTAAGCGATCGGCAATCTGGACTTTTTTCTCCAAATATTGGAGAGTGTTCGAGGGATTAAAGCAAACTCCCCCTTGATAGAGAAGTGGATGTTACCAGAAAGAAAGAAAGGAGAAAAAAAAAAAGTTCCATCACAGAATAAATCAATCAAGAGAGAGAGAGGGGTGCTCAGGGTTGAGAAGGGCTTATAATTAGAGGAGACGGAATATGAGCCCAAACCAAACACAACGTACAGAACTTTGAAACCTTATTTTCTCTAATGTGAGGAGGAGAGCATCACAGAGTCGGATTATTATTCTTCACTAGGAGGTGAGTTCCTGAGGCTAGAACAGAAACATGCTGAAGTCCGGTTAAATTCACACCTTGGAAATCTGTACTGCAAAAAGATTAAACCTTGTTCTTTTTTTTGTTTTGTTTTCCTTTTTTTTTAAAGTTTGATTAAATAGAGCTCAGGACAGAAACCACTTACATGTCGCAAACTGGAACCACATCTTTGGTTACAAATAAAGCATCAACACCCCCCCGGAAAAAAAAAGGAAAGAAAGAAAGAAAGGAAGGAAGGAAGAAAGCGCAGCGCCGCAGAGAAAGTTTTCACCGTCTTTGGACTTTTTCACGTTTTATTTATTTGCAGCTTTGAGTGGAAGCCAATGAATGAACAGAAAAAGGGAGTTTTTTTGTTTTAATAAAACTGATTGCACACATATTCATCTACGACCTCTAGATCACCTGTTTAATGGCAGCGTAATGTAGGATTTTAGAATAAATACACCAGGATCTGATGAAAACTCGAACAAACCAGGGAGGAGGAGGAGGAGGAGGAGGAGGAATCAGGAACATTTCCAAGGCACTGAATAGCATCTTCACCAGAGGGGCTGGTGAGGATGCTTCTCTGCAGTAAAAAATCTACTAAATCAATGAAATATAAAGGAATTCCTGCAGGAAATTGCTCTGCGGGAAGATTTATGTTTTTTTTTTTTTGTCCAACGCGAAGAAGCAGGAAGGTCTTTAAAACAATAATGCTAATGTCCTGGAGGGCCGGAGTCTAGACTCCAGCAAAGTCCAGAGTAAGCAGCTAAAAAACCAGAAAAGCTGCAGACGCTCAAAGCTGTCCTTAAATAACCAAAGTTTGAAATGCTGCAAAACGCGGCCTTGAAGGGAGCGAATACTTGTGCAATCAAGTTTTCTGCTTTAATGAATCTGCCGACATTTGGAATCTCTACTTTGACATTAATGGATTTATTTTTTTGCTTTAATTCAAAGCTGTAGAATAAAACATGAAAACCTGTGTGTGGGGTGAACGCTTCGTGCGGCGCTGCGTCGTGTCGGTACGGACACCAAGTACATGTGTTAACAATCGAAAGAATCGCTGGAGGAATAATAAAAATAATAAAAAGTGACTGGAAGGTTTTTAGAACGTCCCCAAAAAACATGAGTCTACACCGAGGCCAGTGGACAAATAGGCAAAAGGAAAAGGAAGTCGTCTGGCTGGCTGGTAAGGAGATAATATATATATGTGTATGTGTGTATATACAGATATATATATTACAAAACAATAGAACGATAGAAATCCCTGTAAAAAGCAATAAATGTTCACATTAGATGTCACACTTCAAGAAAATAAGCCATAAGTACATTTTACAAGACAGCAGTGAGATACTGGGACAATAATAATAATAATATATAGGCAGGTATGAGTCTCTTCACATGTGGTCGTCGCCCGTGTGCGGCGGGCGGGGCCTCGCCACAGTTCGCTTGATTGACGTGACAAGAGTGGCGCAATGCATGCTGGGCTATGCTGATCGGAGGTGGATCGTCCTTCGCTCGTCCCCGGTCGGTCTTCATGCTTCGGGTTTTTGTCTCGACGCGGTCCCAGTTTTTTGTTTTTTGTTGTTGTTTTTGTGGTGATACCAGGTTTGGAACGGTGAAGGGCTTTTTTCACTCACTGGATTTTAGGCAGTAACACTGATAGTATAGTGCAAACTGGACAGAGCTGCTTCTTCCTCATGTCAACTTAAAACAGGTGCAAACGCTCAGCAGGATAAACGTTTAAGACGAGAAATAAAGGACAAAAACATAAATATCAAAAAACTTTCATCAGTATAAAAAGTAATAAGGTTATTCATTTAATCAATAGTCTGGCAAAAAAGGCCTCAGAATTTTACAAATTAAGTGCCTGTAAGAACGTCCTCTCAGACGAGCGACTCCATGCTCTCGGCCGGGTCCGACTCGTCCGCCATCACCACCACCCCATTAGTGTCCATGTGCATGGGGCTCAGGCCACACTCTCTGTTCCCCACCAGGCTGAGCATGGCTTTGTAAAGGTACTGGTACTGCTCCTGTGTGCACAAACACAAACACGCAACACGTCAGCGACACGTAGCGACGCTCCTCCAGAGCTGGATGACACGATCAATCTGTCACAGAAACTACATAAAGAAGAGTGAACGTGCAGCTCTGCAGACCTTCATCTCATTCAGGGTTTATGGCCTCGCATTCACCACATGGTTCGTTCTAGAAAAGTCTGCTGGAGCATTTAGCAGCTAGAAAACAGGCCTGAAAGTACACTCGAGTTCAACAGGTGGACAGAAAAAAATGACCCCGAATGAAACTGTGCTTGATATATGTAAGAGGCAGCATGTGTGTGTGTGTGTGTGTGTCCGCCGGCTTGTTTCTCCTCCCACCGGTGACAAGGAATTGATCAACGCGGCTTTAACGGCTGCTTCGAGCGCTATGAATTGATTTCCTGGTCACTTGTGGGCAGCAGATCAAGCTGTAAACACGAGACTAACAATCGGCGCTGAATGAAGCGCAGCCTGTGGATGTGTAAGCAAACAGCACCAATCAATTCAAACATCCACAGGACAAAGAGGAACTCTTGTTTCTGGAGTCGGTCAGAGCCACGCTCACGGCCACCTGATGAACACGAGTCCGACAGTCCGCCTCCTTTTACTGGACTACAGCAGGAAACCAACCACTTCAAGTTCAGTGGTGACTCGATAATCCAACACTAAATGTAAAACCTTCTTTTATGTCGCATTGTCA